AATTGGGGCAAAGTTGCGCTTTGGGATGTTTACCAAGATGCCATCAAAAAAGTTTTAAAAATTTCAAGGATTGCTCAGTTTTTTGGAAAAAACGGATATTTTTTGAAAATCAATTTTATTTTTCGCTGTCGTTACTTTTAAGAAAATCAAAAAACTAATTGCATATTCTCATAGCCACTTTATTAGGGCTATCTGGTAGTATTTTTATATTTTCAAATTAGCTGATAATTTATGAGATACAGAGGCCAACTTAATTTTTGTTAAATACGGACCTGTGTTTTTCATTTCAGATTTTGAAAGAACTCGGTCTACTGAGTACAATGATATGCCATACTTAATATTTTTTTTTTGTTTCTGATATTTGAACACAATTTATTTAAACTAATTTCAGGTCCGGCTCTGTTTTTTTAATATTTAATCTATTCATCCTTACAATATTAATAAGCTTTTAAACTTAACAATGACGTGGGGTAAAACATTAAATATTGAAAATGAAATGCAATAAAATAATAAAAAAATAATATACAAATGAATACATTACTCTCGACATTACTTCACGTCATTTGTAAAAGTGAAATCACTATAGCCCAACATTTACAATAAAGAATACAAAATGCCTTCGGAAGTATAAGAAGAAAGTTCAAAGAGCTATAAATAAAATTGAACGAAAAATAAATTTGTGCAATAGGGAGGGTGGTAACCCTTTCGTAGAGCATTAGAAACCAGTTTGTAGAAGTTTATTTATTTATAATAACTAAGATGAATATTAAGCATATTATTAGATCGCACACTGAGATTTATTCACAATAAAAAAAAATAAAAATAATATCTTTAAATTGCTGACCTGGATATAATTTATTTGAATCTTCCAACTGGCTCGATTTTCCTTATTCAATGTGAATTAGCGCTGATCAATATTGTTGCGATGAATATAATCAGATTAAATAAAATTAAAAAAAAACAGCGTCGGACTTGAAATAATTTTAAATAATAATTAAATAGTTTTTTTGTTGTTAAGGTATCCAAAACAAAAAAAATATATATAAAGTGTGGCATATCATTGTACACAGTAGACCGAGTTCTTTCAAAACCGGAAATAAAAAATGCAGGTCCGTATTTAAAAAAATTGAGTTGGCCTCTGTATCTCACAAATTATCAGCTAATTTGAAAATCTAAAAATACTATCAGATAGCCCTAATAAAGTGGCTATAGAATGTGAAATTAGTTTTTTGATTTTCTTAAAAGTAACGACAGGAAAAAATAAAATTGATTTTCAAAAAAATCCGTTTTTTCCAAAAAGCTCAGCAATCCTTGAAACTTTTAAAACTTTTTTGATGGCATCTTGGTAAACATCACAAAGCGCAACTTTGCCCCAATTTAACCATGTTCGTTTCTATTACGATTACCGAGATACCAATTATCGTACCTCGAAATTGGTAGCACCCTGTATACAGCTGAATTATATCATCTGTACCTTAACTCATCCAGACATTCGACTTTGTAATTACGGCTGAAGTTTAACTTCTACGACTTAATTCTAAGCATAAAATATAAAGAATTTATATTATGAATATTATATTAAAGCTTTTTCTGTTTCAGATATCAAGCTACTTAAACCCATCCAGATATGCTACATCGAATGATCTACTAGGTAAGAAAGTTTTTTATTAGGTTTTTTTCCGCTTAGAGTATATCGGAACTTTATTTTTGTTAGCTTAATTATTTAAGATTATATTACACAAATTTTACATAACCTCGTTGAAATCCAACTTAATTTGAGTAACTCCACTTTGCTAAAAAATGCCAGAAACATAAAAAATTCTGTTTTGTTTCCCGATGTTTTATAGTTTTTCAAACATTTTGTTCAGCATTTGGCAAGTTTATTGGAGCCGCTTTTTATATGACTTCCAGCGAAATACGCTTCCTTTTCGAGTACGTTTTGCAGCTAGTCGCCCCGAAAAACAAAGGAAACGGGAGTATACCAGCGAGAAAAAGTCACAAAAGGAAAAGCAAGAAGAGTTATTTAAAAATAGTAGGCTTTTAAAAATGCAGTAATTTGTTTTTTTTTTCAGTTTTGAAACTCACTAAATGATAAATAATAAATTTTGATTTTCTGCCCAAGTAGCAAATTTTATTTTATAAAGGCTGTATAAACAGCTATGTGATCATTTTTATAGGATACCTCAATTCATATAACGTGCTATAAGACCGTAATATGATAGCTTTACAACCAAAAAAGGCCCATTTTTATACAACCGTTTAGTAGTATAGAAGTTCTATAAAAAGGGTATAAAACTCTTATGCAACTATTTTACACAGCGTTATATAACTATTATAAAACTAGTGTTATTGTGTATTACGTGGTCACATCTAAGAAACAGAACAATAAAAACATTGATCATTTAGCGAGGTAAAAGAGTATTTTATTTTTTACCGAAGAATATTAGGAGCAAATTATATTTTAAGCGTGCCGTAAAATGAATCTAGAGGATGTGGATTGTTAAAAAGGAGACTCGACGGTGAAAATGGCGGGTAGAGCCAGAAGGTACAACAAATATGTAATATAAAAAATCATTAATAGGGTTTGAAAAGTAGGGACAATTTTTGTTGCGCCGAAAATTTTACTGGTAGATTATAGATATGTATTTGGCAAAAAATTAAAGCGCTTTAATTTCGATTAAGGTTTACGTATAAATTTAAACAATAAAATAAAATAAAATTTTCAAAAAATCTTGTTTTTAATTTAATTAAACAGTTTATTACTGTTATGTGGGAATCTTATCACAAAATAGTACAAAAATAACATTTTACAATTTATTTGGATGTTTTTAATTTTGCTTCATATAATGGCGGTCATAGGCCATACAAAAATTCTGCCTTAAATATGGCGAATTATAATGCAACCATTTTATTATAAATGAATCCCTTAAATAAGTCTTTGTTGTAAAATAAAACGGTATAGGATAAATATATATCATTACGCAGAATTTCCAGGCACTATAGAACTATTTTTAACATTTTGAGATTTGTGACAAATAGATGTTGCCAAATCTCATTTGATTAGTATTTAAACTAACAAACATGATCAGGTTTTCATGGATTCATGCACGCAATGCATTTCATGCATGCCCGACGAGTGAGCGGCAACCTAAGGACTTGGAAAAACAACAATAAAACAATACAAACACTACTACAGTAAAACTTTTACATCAACGTGGCAACAATGCTTTGAAGAAGCCAGACAACCCGAGCTTGAGCTTGAGACAACCCTGAGCATTGTCTTATTAAGTGTTATATCATACTAAATCTCAAATTATCTTTTAATGCGTTATATGATACGTTGTAAAAACCACTAGAAAATAGTTTAATATGACAACTTTTATTAAAAAACAGAATGGTCGAAACCAAACGCTTAATAAAATCAAGCAGTCCTTAAGACAACGCTATTCGACTGTTATAAAATAATTCAATCCTTTTAGAACTTCTTTTTGCTACTTGGGTGTGTTGTAAATTTAATCTACTGCCTATGTTGCCACATTATCAAGAAATTATGTTGTTTAACTAAAAACTAGAAAAATCTACAATTTTTTTTAAAGAAATTCCCAGTTTTCAAATTTATTTTTTCGCAAAAAAAATCATAATCGTGATTCTGGGGTCCAAATTAACCCTAAAAATATTTGCACTTATTTAAGACTGTATAATTACAATACTTTAACCATGTTAATAGGCCCTTTGCAGATTTTTTTTATTGTCTTAAAATGATCATTTAGACCCCAAAAGCACCCCTATAAAATATTTTGAAACATCTGGTGTATTAACGCCGTAATAAATGATTAAAATTCAAATTGATGAAACGCCCGCTAAAACGTCGCCTTTGACCAATCATGCGATAGTGATCTCACGAAGCACTATTTTGTTTTGGCGTTTACGATTTTCGGCACAGGTCACGTTTTCGGCGAGGTTTTTTAGTGATTTACGAATACAAAATGGTTTATCGGTACTGTATCGTAACAGCTTGTAAGAGTACGACAATTTCCACTCCTGGAAAAACATTTATTAACTTGCCTATGGAGGAGAAAACGCGAAAAATTTGGCTTAAAGTCATAAAACGCCAGCCTGAAGACATTTCTCCAAAAAGTCCTGTCTACCTTTGTGAAGACCATTTTAATGTAAGTATTTATTTCAATTTGAGAGCAGTTATATTACAAATTCATTTTTGAGTTGGTTAAGGAATACAAATGTAAAACAGTAGAAAAATAAATACTGGACTAACCTCACTTTTATTTGTTATGGAGTTTATAGTTTTGTGTTTTTTTTTTCTAGTTGGAGGAAGATATGGCAAAGTACCATTCACGATGTTTTATGTGAAGCCAGTACTTCAAAATCTAATTTACCTCTAAAAGAACAAATCGTGTAAGAAATCCCCTCTGATGCCTTTGAGGAAACTGCGGATACGCATCGTAGCATAATACAAATAAACATACGAGAGATAAGTTTCTTTTTCACTATTTCCAAGCCCGTTTGGGCCTTTTTGTGTTGGTTGTTTGTGTACTTATATTAAAGTGTGTATTGTTGTGTATAATAAAACTAGAATTTAAATAAAAAAAATAACTACCTATGTGAAATCCTTTTGAATATATTATTAAATGTTATATTTGACGTATGTAACCATTGCACTAACATGATTAAGTAAAATAAATAAATAACAAGGGTTTATGTTCTTTTTTATCTGTGAGTAGAGCAAGTACACGATAAAGTGAAATATAGCATAAAAATAAGTAAGCAATACCATTAAAAATTGCCATATCTGCCCTCTTTTAGATCTCAATCAACACTTCAAGCAAAAAGATTTCCCCTTACAAATATTTCCTGTCATTATTTTACCAGAGTATAAAAATTATGATTTATATATTATGATTTATTTAAACAAGACAAACACTGTTTTATATATTTTTCTATATTAAATTAAATATATTTGTTTTCCAAAACTGCGTAGATCTTTAGATTATAGGCAATAAAAAATTTTCATCATACTCTATATTTATCAATTTCACTTCACTATTTTGTTCAAATGCCGGAGCGGAAATACAAAACACTCCACTTTTTTTGTTCATCAAAAACATTTGTAGTTGTATTTGTGCCAGATATTTATTCGTTATCACACCATTCACCATATAATTTGAGAGAGTTTTCTCAGATGATGGACACTTTATTTCTATAACGATGTCACTGTTATAAGCATCAGGTGATGCTCCGACTATGGGGACAATTGGGGATAACATCAGACCTCGACGTACAAGCTTCGTGTTCAGTCTTTTTTCCACTATTCTAAGAACGCTATTTTCTAATTCTCTACCCCTTCTCATGGCAGGTGTGTCATATGTCTTTGCAGCTCCAATAATTGTTTCGACTAAGCTCCCTTCCACGGTTCTGCACCTAGATGCTTCAAATATCTTGGAAGCAGTATATATACTATATCTGAAATCACGCCACAAACTACACTCACTTTGTTCTGTGGTTTTATTAAAGGCTTCATTGCACGATAACGGTGACATTTTGGAAGATGCATATTTAATAAACGCATCGGATGTTTGTTCGCTCTCATTAAATGAAAATAAAAGCTGGTGAATGCCTAAATTTAAATGTTTGTCTTCTTGAAAATAATGCCGAAGTTGACAAGGGGCTCCACATTCATTGGCTTTCTCAATGAACTTCTCCAAAAACCCACTATTGTTAGAATCTACTGTCTCTTGTTTCGCATCTTTGGCAAAGTCTTGTATCGTTACATATTGCAAAGATGTACCGACCAGGGTTCGGAAAACTACATGTTACTTTTAAAAACTACATAAACTACATTACATGTAGTTAATGTAGTTTATGTAGAGGGTGTAGTTTATGTAACATATGTATGTAACTTTCAAATATCAAAGTTTTGAGGTGAGGTTATAATAAGTTGAAGCTTTAAAAACACATAATGTATTTAAGAAAGCAGAAGAAATATGGCTTTAAATATAATATTTACATCATATTATCTCTATTACACCTCATATAAAGGATAATTATTCATAATATCAATACATAGTTTATGAACGTAGTTTTCATGTAGTTAATGAACGGGAAAAGACGTAGTTTTTGAAGAAAAAGTACACGTAGTTAATCAGGTAAATTACGTCTTAATTAACTACTTCCGTACCGACACCTGACAACTTTGGTTTTTTCCAGTAAGAAACAACATCGGTTGGACTGGGTTCCTCACTTCGTCGATGGACCCACATTATGAATGCAATTGCATGTTTGCATCTACCTAAAACAATAAAAGAACCATCACTAACAGGACAAATACACAAGCTACCTACACAAAAAGTACTTTATTTCCATGATATGTGGAATAGTTGTTATCACATAATAATCTATTATAAATAACCTTCTGAAGCTGCACAGTCCTGGCATTCAGCTTTCAAAATCTTCTCGGAGTCTTCATTAACTTCCATGATGACAGTGTAGTCTTTAGAGCGGACTCTATGTTCAGGAGATATTTTGCATTTTATTGTGCAAATATTATTGTCTTGTTTTAATTCCACATACCCCACTGCAGAATTTCCATAGCTCTCTCTTTGGGCCCTGAAATAGTAAAAATTATAATGTAGATAAATCTCTTTTGGAAACACAACCAAACTTTGCTTCCACAGTGTGATTATTGAACGTTTATATATTTATACGGCAAATTGATATATGGAAAAATTAGAAAAATAAACTGTTTCACTATCAAAAGAAAGAAAAATATATTTTACCAACCTTTTAGCTTTAACGCCACGTTGTTCGGCAGATGTAAACAACTCATTCTGAGAAAAAAACTCGGCCACCATCAACGAGTCCACCAAAGGCAGATTATCAGAACTTGCTTTTAAAAAACCTTCAGTCATATTGATAATAATTAAATACAACTTTAGCACTCCACAAAGCTCGAATTAAAGTTTAAAAAAGCAGACAACGACCAGCACACGGCGACGATCAACGTAAAATAGCACAGTAAACATGGCGGCGTTAGGGAAATACTACTTCGTGACGTCACACTAAAAAAAACAACCAAACCAAACCAATGGGATTTGGTGCAAACCAAGCCAATGGGGTAGCGTTTTCGTGTGACGTCAAATTTAAAGGTCCCTGGCAAATACAAATCAAACAATTACTTACAATCGAAATTATAAAATAATTTGCAATGCTTTTTGAAAATATCATCGTGGGGGTGCTATTAGTGGTATTTATGAAGGTGTTTAAGTAGTTTTTATGTGAAAATTAAAGTATGTGCAAGGGGCCCATTATATTTATTTAATAACACTGGTCAATAGTGGTTTTGCTACTTAAAAATCGAATTTGATCTTGTAAACACTGGTCTAATGTTTGCTATTGCTATATTTACTAATGACATCGAAATAAATTTATTATTTTTTAAATTTTTTCTCTACTTTCGATTTTTCGAAATTAGAAAAAATACACAGCTAAAGGCAAGAAAATATTATTTATTAATATACACTAAAGCTGTAAGAATTTTGTTCATTTCATATATTTGAGCGGGCCGAAAAACGCTCTTTACCATCTTTTGACGGGAGATGCACTAATATCTCACCGACACTTTACGACATCGTCTGTAGATATAGAAGAAGTTTTGCTTGCCGTATCGGTGAGAACCAGCCCCTGGACAGCCCACCTGATGAAGGGTAGGCCCAGAAACCGGTTGTGGGAGTGGAGCTTGGTTCCCCCCTTTACGACAAGCAAAACAATTTTCTTTTTACTTTTTATTTTTTTTTTTAATTTTTTCTCTACTTTCGATTTTTCGAAATTAGAAAAAATACACAGCTAAAGGCAAGAAAATATTATTTATTAATAAATTTATTTAGAGGTCATTAATATTTACTATAAACTAACTAAATATTTTTGAATATTATTTTTATTTTTTTGTTCTTTGACATTGTAAACATTTATAAATGTTTATTTTAAACAACAAGACTGACAATATTATTTATATATTGTTTTGGATTTTACTTTGTTTGTTTAGTTTACCTTTGCCTACAAATTGAAAAATTTTTTGACAATAAAGGCATTTATTTATTTATTTTATTTATCTACTCTTGGTATAAGATTGATTTCTGATATAGATATGCACAATTCATGAAGCTATCAATGATTTGGGAATATTTGCTTTAGATTTTTTTAATCTTTATTTTCACTTTCAACTACAAAAATCGGAAAATACTAAAAAAAAAATAACAGATATATTTCATACCAATTAAACTTTTAGTTACGTATGCAGTATCTCCATAATTTAATATAATTTTATCGAGGATCTTCTCAGAGTAACTATTCGGAGGCAAGTCCATTTTTATATTACTTAATTTATCATTAGGAGATGATAAACTATAAATAGAGAGACTCTTTATAATGAAGAGGTTTAGAAAAAGGAAGTTTTAAAAAAGAAAAAGCTAAAATGTTTTGTACTACCCTATAAATGCATGAGCCGAGCAACAACAATAGGTATTACGTTAAGGCACCCCCAGAAATGCAGTACATCACGTGCAACGGGCCATTATCTGTTCCAGTCCCAAGCATTAAATATATATACAGATAAACTAAGACGTGAACTACCGACCCTTTTAATCGTGGAATTGCAGGAAGAAAACGAAATACAACTTTTCTTTATCTGTACCTAGGAAGACGTATTTCAAATTAATTTTTGAATCAAAAAGCCTAATAGAAAATCTTGGTTTAATATGTGTATTGTGTATCGATTTTTTTCTTAAGTCTACTGAATTGACGGATGTTCATAATTAGTATTGCACAAGAGTCTTGAAGACTCTTGCAAAAAATTCAAGACAAGACTTTCAAAATTTCTTGTCTTGAGTTTCAAGACAAGACAAGACTTTAATATGCAAGAAATTTCAAGAGTCTTGCAAGATTTCTTGAATTCAATATTTCTTGAAAGTTAGAAATGATACATTTTTTTAAGTGATAATTAGGTCTTTGCGCAAGTTATGCCGGGTTTATACAACATTTACATAATCGTAATCACGATCATAGTCATGATCATAAAAGTTAAACTATATCCACTTCTTATAAACCTGTTGACATCTACCATGAACTTAGTCTTTAATTATGTTACCCAACTTCACTGATTTAAAAAATTATGATTATGAAAATGTTCTATAAACGCACATTAAAATTGCGTTGTGATTATTTACGATGATCAAGACTGTGATTATGATTACGTCTTATGCAAATGTTGTATAAACCAGGCATTAATATTGACCAATGTTCTTTTTTTTTCTATCATAGCCACTGTTTTAGAGTTGAGAATGAAATAAAATAAAGTCGAGGCAACAAACCGTATATTGGTAATTGGTATTAACACAAAATTATATTGGTATAATGGTATTATAAAAAAAATAACGGTAGTTGAAACTAATGGTGGGTTCGTGGAGCACGCTATTTGCGCTATTCGGTACTACTTTTCATGCACGAAAATACTCCGCGAACAAAAAGTAGTATCAAATAGCGCAAATAGTACACCCTAGCATAACCTTTCCGTACACCCTGTATCCAAACTTTTCCAGCCAATCCTCCTTAATAAAAGTATAAAATAAATACCATAATAAATAAAAGTAACAAACGGGTAACCAAAATGGAACATAATAAACTAACAATAATTAACAACTAGAACTAAAAAATGAATGCACAAGGTAATAATTCATTCATCTTCTTAAGGGACAGTCAGGGCAGTTCAGTAAACGCACGGGTCGCGAATGTTCACGGAGCTAAAACAGGACTTCGCCAAATCCCGAGGCTGGTTTTGTAGCTCCCGTATTTTTCTAGGTGTGTCGTCCGGACGACACCCTGCATCAGTGACGCTGGACGGGGTCTCGCCGAAATCCCGAGGTTGTCTTGACCGGGCAGTGTGTGTGCGGGCTGCGCTTATCCAAACGACGTACAACTCGCCGAGACGTCGCTAACGTCGTGATCGATCCAGGGCTCGCGTGTGTGTATATCCCACAGGACGCTGTTAGTTTCGCGATCGATGCAGGGCTCGCGTTTGTGTATCCCTCGGGACGCTGCTAATTTCGCGATCGATCCAGGGTTCGCGTTTGTGTATCCCACAGGACGCTGTTAGTTTCGCGATCGATCCAAGGCTCGCGTTTGTGTATCCCTCGGGACGCTGTTAACTTCGCGATCGATCCAGGACTCGCGTTTGCGTATCCCACAGGAAGCTGTTAACTACGCGATCGATCCAGGACTCGCGTTTGCGTATCCCACCGGACGCTGTTAACTTCGCGATCGATCCAGGACTCGCGTTTGTGTAATCCGGGACGCTTTTAACTTCGACGCCGATCCGAGGTCCGTGTTTCGTTGTCAAAACGGACGCCGTTCCGAGAAATATTTAGCTGTGACTATCGGGACGCCTGTAACGACGTCGCCGCCGTTTAGAGAGTCGCGTCATAGTAGAGTGTGTTACTCCGGTACTTACGTGTCTGTGTGCATTAGGACGCCGCTAGATTCGACGTCGATTAGGAACTCGCGTCGTTTTATTTAATAGAACGTCATTGCGGGAACGCGTTTTGAATTCACGGGATAGAATCAGTCAGAGAGTTACATATCGGAAATAATCGATCAAAACTCTAGAGGTACACGGTTGTTATTGTAAATTTTACTTTACGGGTCTTTCAATATACATTTTATTTCACTGTTGTTACGATTCGAGGACGTGAACCTTCTTGGATTATTTTTGTACATAGTTAATTAGTTAAATAAAACCCTAGTGTTTCGTTGTAGTTAATTGTGTGTTTTATTTTCTTTTTATCTCATCACTCCCTGGTATCTCCACTGTATAAAAGCTACCCGTATTGGCACTAGTGGTCTCTCAAACACTTTAAACTTGGGGGTGGCGCCCGAGGAACCGAAACAAGGCAACTCGGCGTCCGTGACTTCTCTCAAAAACGGGGGAGCCTCACAATGTATATGGCGAAAGTCGGCAATTTTTGCTTTTATTGTTTATCATTGAAACAAAAAGGCATAGGAAAATAAACATTTGTAAGAGTATTAGGCATACTACAATATTATATGGAATATTTTCCCATTCCTAAAATAAGTGGAACAGGATGATCTAGACTCCTGTTAAAATTTCAAGAAAACTTACGGAACTTACTACAAGCTTACTAGTTTGACAAAAAAATTGGATCAGCTATGTAGAATATTTTTATCTCACGAATTTTTTTACAAAACTTGCAGATTTCAAATTAAAACATAAAATGTGAATCTTACGTCTGTGAGTTATTTTAGAAAAAGACGTCTAGTTCAACTAGGGCTGCTGTCACTTACTGAGTCACGGTGGCTCACGACATTTTATTTTAATCCATTCTCTACATTTATTATTATCTTTTTAATTTAAAATCAGTAAGTTTTGTGAAGAAATACAAGGTGTAAAAGAGTTTATAAATAAGACAGATTAATAATTATTATTTCAAATTGTTTGGTGAGTTTTTTAAAAACACCACCGGTGAAGCTGTGGGGAAACCCCCTAGTAACACTGGGAACATTTTATGAAGTTCCAAGGAACCAATCCCAAAGAGAATTACAGGAGAGGCAGTTGACACTTGCGCGAGGCCAGCAACCACCTCCTCTAGTGAGGGTCGGGAGTCGAGGGTCGACCTCTAAACAAAATATGCGACACAAGCTGCCGTTTCGTCTACCCGGCCTGGGTCAACCAGGCGGGCTAGACGATCCTCTGGGAGTAGGTCTTAGCGGAGCAGAAGCACGGAGATACCTCCGACTGCTCCACGTAGGACTTGCTCCATAGGAAGCGAAAACGCTCCTCCGAAAAGGAGAGAGTAATGAAACCAAGAAACTGTAGCGTTTTATTTTTCTTTTTATAAAA